ACCCTTGATAGAAAAATAAAATAAGCTTCCAGACCTTCTCTTCTCAACTCCAACCACCCCGGCCTTCTCCTTTTCTTTCCTTTTCTATCCTTCCTCCTTCCACTCACGCCAGCCACACCCAAAGCCAACTGCAGCTGTCCCAATCTTTCCCTTCCCAGTCAAGCTCCTGCAAGCACTCTCAGGCAGTCCCCGCTACACTGGTCCCATCTGCAGTCTCTTTTTTTTCCTCTCTGTAGCATTGTTTTTTCTTGGGCCTTCATTATCTCATTTTTCAGGGTTTCTTGGGCATCTTGAACTGTTTTTCCTTTTAGGATGTCTATCTATGGAATCCTTCCTCTTAGCTTGTTGAAGTCAACTCTCTTAAAGTCTAAAACACTAGTTTGGCTTGATTCAGTTACTTGTGGTTGCATTTTGGTGAATTCAAGTATGTTATGGTTGCTCTTCCCCAAATTTCCTATAACTTGTAATCCCTCAACCATTTCCTGTCTGAGACGGTATAGGTTCTCCTGCTTGAGCAGGGGGCTGGACTAGAAGACCTCCAAGGTTCTATTCTATTCTATTCTATTCTATTCTATTCTACTCTACTCTACTCTACTCTACTCTACTCTACTCTACTCTACTCTACTCTACTCCTGATCCCCTAGTTCCCTTCTCTGCTTTTTGTATGACAAAATTGTCAGGTAAGCACATCAGGAACCTATTTGATCTCCCACTCGCTGCAGAGTTTGTTTCCCAGGTGGTGTCAGGATAGTTAAAGTCCCCCATTACTACAGTGGTGGGTTTCTTGCATACCTTAGCTAATTGATTAGCAAAGAGTTGATCTATTTCCTCTGCTTGGTTAGGTGGCCTATAGTACATACCTGTAGCAAAGTCATTGCTTTTTCCTCTAATATTTACCAAAATACTTTCAAGAAGGCTTTTATCATTAGTATTCTATATTTCTCTGGACGTGTACTGTAGTAATTATTTATATACAACACAACCCCGCCTTCTCTTTTATTGGGTCGGTTCCTTTTCAACAATATGTATACTATCTAGCTGTGTGTTCCAAGCATGGGTTCTATCCCACCAAGTTTCAGTAATAGTTACAACTTCATACTTGCCCTCCTATACTAGAATTTCAAACTCTCGCTATTTGTTTCTCGTACTATGAGCATTGGTACGACCATAATTGAGCCCAAAATTGATGTTGCTAAGCAAAACATTTGTAAACTGAGTTTTGCCTCATTTTATCACCTTTCTTTTCACAGTTGTTAAGTGAATCACTGCAGTTTTAAGTTAATAACACGATTATTAAGTGAATCTGGCTTCCCCATTGACTTTGCTTGTCAGATGGCTACAAAGGTGATCACATAATGCTGGGACACTACAACTGTCATAAATATGAGTCAGTTGCTGAGCATCTTAATTTTGATTACGTATCTGCTGCAATGGTCGTAAGTTGTGAAAAATGGTCATTAAATCACTTTTTTCAGCACTGTTATAAACTAAACTAACTGTTATAAGTCAATGTGCATACAGACATTATATACAGACATTTGAGACCTTTATAGTTGTCTTAGTTTTGCTGTTTATCTCCTAATTTGTACTTCTTGTATACCTCAGCTGTTTAGCTGAAGTGTGCTAATCTAATCTGAGGCCCTAATTTATCACCTGATTTGTACTTCACGTTCCCTTTCTCATTATCTGATTTGTGTTTAGTCTTATCAGTTGGTCACCCTTTCCCACCAGTTTTAGTTTAAAACACTTCAGATGAGCTGAGCCAGATATTTTTCAAATGTATTCTTGCCAGTCTTCACGAGGTGCAATCCACAGATTCCTATTTCTATTGTCTCTTCCTCTTCTTTCTCATCTTTCTTTTATTACTTGCATCTTCTCTACTTTCCTCCCCAACATGTCTAACAGCTTTCCTTGCTTCTTGCAAATTTGTTTCCAAAGTGATTAATGGGTAAGTTGCCTCCACTCACCCAATCTATGATTACTCAGGGCACTGTAGCCCACCCAGCATTCCTTTTAAAGACCAATTGCTCCAACTATGTCACCCATAGTTCACCTTTCATCCCTCTTATTAGGAGGCTTTGTTCTAGCTATATACTGGTACTGTAAATAGAAATGGTAGAATTCTAAAGGGACCTCTTTCTCCTGCAGATCCCCAATGGCTTTAAAATGTAATGGGTGCTATTCATTATGTCCTGCACCATGTTTTGGAGCCGGTCACTTGGATTGGGGGAATTAGGGTTTTGTTGGTAAGTGTACCTGTCAGGTTCCGACTAATGAAACACTTCAAAGAACTTCCAGGCATTGTTTTCCTAAAAAGTCTTTTATTTAGGTTACAACATGTCAGCACACCGAAGGGATGCTAAGAACTAAATTCTCTTCCTCTGAGCAATTAATTTCTCAGCATATTCCCTCCCTAAATTTGTTGTCATATATCACATTATCCAATTAGTGTGAAGGTCAAAGGTTTCCTTCCTCTTTCTTTCCCTCTACTCTCTTCTGCTCTGCATTAACCCTAAAAATGCCAGACAGTTCTGCATATTGTCAAAGCAAGAATATACAGTATTTGCAGCGTTGACATCACCATTTGGTGCAGATCCGCTCAATCTCTTGGTCAGACAAATTGTACTGGAAGCTGAGTTGATGTAGCCTACATGTCCTTTGAGTGGGGTGGGGCTCAAGGCCCCAAGATGTGTAACTATCTGTTTCAGCTCTCTCCCCTTAAAGGGGTATGAGTGACTATTTCCCATTGCTAGTTTTGGACATTTCTGTGCCATGTTTGTTCTCTGTTTTCCTCTACTGCAGAGAGGAACAAGCCACCTCTTTCTGAGCTACTTTTCTCCACAGCACAGCACTTCCCTAAAAATGCCAAGTGGAAGTTAATAAGATCAGCTTTGTGGTTTTAATCAGATTAGAACCCTGCTGCCTGAAACTAACCACATTTTAATCAGGTTCACACTGAAGCCATTTGTTGTATTCAATGCTGCCATTTTCATCAGGATAGTAATTGTGAATAGTCATTAAACAAGGACTTTCTGTATAAAGTTTTCTACTTTTGTAATAGTGTAAAATATGAGGAGATAGATGCAGGAATGCCTCACAAATATTTCTGTGTAAATAGAAGTATTTTCCATTCACATAAAAATTCTTGACTATCTTTGTTTAAGGTCACTTAATTCAATAGACAGATTCCATGTCTTTTTGCAATATTATTGTTCTATTATTTCTTCATTTCATTTCTTAATAATGCCTAATATTTTATCTCACTAGCTGTTGTCTTTGATTTTCCAGTATGATTGGTGTTCCTGGATTCCAAATGCTCCTCCAACTATGCGCTGCCCGCCACCTATAGAAAAGGGGAAAACCACTATTGAATATATCATCAAGAGTTTACCTGACAGGGGACGGTCTTGTTGGCATCTTGGTGCTGTTTGGGCTTTGAGTCAATTTCAGGAAAATGAAGTGAGAATTGTCTCAATATTTAAATGCTTTTTTTATTTATAACATAAAAGTAAAATTCAGACTCCACATTCTTCATGGAAATCTGTGTTTTAGTACACTAGAGGAAAGTATTGTGTACATGGACCTCAAGGAAAGCCTTTAATAAAATGCTAAAAAATATTCATAAAAGTAAAATAAGGGCTAGATGATACTACTGTTATATGGACTTAACAGTTGGCTGAATGCACACACCTAAATAATTATGTAAATAACTCTACTTCATCTTGGAAGGAAGTTTCAAGTGAAGTTCCACAGGACTTCACTTGGAACTTCCTTCCAAGAAATTTCACAACTTCACAGGCTATTGCTCAACATTTTTATCAATTATTTGAATGAAGCAGTACAGGGGCATTTCTAAAATCTTCAGGAAGCACAAAATTGGGGTAACTAATACTTTAGTTGGAAAGATTTAGACCAACTTGAACTGTAAGTTGAAATGAATAGGACGGAATTTAATAGGTCATTTAAAGTTCTGCATCTGACATGGAAAAACCTAACACCCAAATATAGGATGGGGGAGGACCCAAAACAATAGGTTAAAATTATAATGACTTAGCCTAAAATTATAAGGAAGGAGGTTCAGGCTACACACTTCAGTTGGAATATGCTTGTCAGCTGGTAAAATAGGCTGTCAAAAAGTGTCTAAGACAATTCATCAGGGCCAAATGATCATGCCCATTTCACTCCAGCTTTTCCAATTCAGCTGACCCACTGTGGGCCTTTGTCCATAGCTGACCTTCCACTGGTGAAATACTGCTGCTATTATTATTACGCCGCTTCTCCAACACTGCCTAGTCATGGTTGATGCACTGTAACACAAATCTGCACAGCCGATTCCCCCCATGGGACAATTAAATGCACCTCTAATACTTCTGGCACACTTCTGGTGCATACCTTCTGATGAGAGGGACGGGGGCGTTGGAAGCAGCAGGGCTGGAAAGCAATGGTGGCGCGGCTTTGGCAACAGCCAGCAACATTTGGCTGTTCAGGGGGAAGGTGCAGGTGTGGTTAAAAAAAGAAAAAATAATAACTGATCTTTCTTCTCTTGTGTGTGTGTTTATTGAGAAGAAAGTTAATAAAAATGGGTTACTTATACAGCTGATTGAAGAATTGCTAAGCCTTCTTTACAAGTACATTTGAACAAGAACCAAACTAAGATCTAAGATGAAATTGACCATGTTGTGTAAAGCTAAGAGTTCTGGAGGGTTTTCTGTTTTTGTGTTTGTATGTGTATTAAAGTCTTTGTGTGTTCTTGAGGTGAAAGAATAGTGAAAATACTGCATGGAAATTGATGAAACTTTTATGAAGCTGTCAAATGTCTTTTATCACCAGAGACAAGATTTTAAATTTTGTTAGGAAAATGTTAAAATAAGCTTTAAAAAAATACATTCACCGTGCTTTGCCTGGTCAGCAAAACAGAGCAAAGAGAGCCATGTTCCCTTTTCTCTCCCTGTACCTTTAATAACAGCCCAAGATCCATCAGGAGGGAATGTTCTAAACTCATTTAAAAGGAAATTTTTTATTTTGGATTTTATGTATTGTGGGTGGAATTTGTCTGTCTGTAAATCATGAGATATTCCTATCCGGAGATGCCTATTTATTTCTGTCCTCAAATCTGTTTGTGCATGTTTCCCAATGATATATTTAAGCCTTGGACTTTCCAAATTCTGCCTGCATGTTATCCACCCCACCCCACTCCACGTCTCTGTCTCTCCTCATCTCCTACTTGATTGCTCTACTACAGATTTCTATTGAGCTAATCTGCCTCTCTAAGTCATTCTGTTTTTTCTTTTCTTCCTTTAGTATAGCTGTCAGACCCCAAAACCCCTCACCCATTCTCTTTTGCCTTCTATTCTTTTGGGGCCTGCCATTCTGTTGGGGGAAGGGGTGCATGGGGGAATATGTTGATAACTTTCGCTTTCCTCTTTCTTTGTCTGGCCTCCTCCTTTTGAGTATGGAATGCAGGTCTCCTTATCTAGGAGACAGTTGCAAGGAAAGGAAAGCTGGAGAAGACCTTGAGATGTGAGCCTACCGAGCCTACCGTACCAGTCAGCCGGCCATCAAGCCACCAGTGGATTGGCTGGAGTTCAAACAGACATGATGACTTTGGTGGGAGGGGGCATATTGCTTTTCTTCAGATCTCGTCTTACATTCCCTGCTATCACTAGTCCCTAATAAAAGTTCCTTTTGAGACAATGCCTGTTTCAAGAGTTCTGCTTTCTTAGGTGATTAGCTGAGGTGGGTCCTGACAATACCTCCATACCTTCTGTAAAAGGTGCTGATCCTAATCAATTGTATCCTAAACAGTTGGGAGCAGGGCCGAGGCATTTCTTTCAATGTGTATTGTGCACTTGCTTATTTTCACTTGTTGATTATAGATCAGGATTCAAAGGCTTAGGGAAGCGAGGAAAAGGGCTGCAGATGTGCCCCCCCTTTCTTTCCAAGCATCCCTGTATGTTGAATTCTGGAATGTGAAGCCTGGACCTCACTGTTGCCCAGTTGGGATCATATTCTCCTGATATTCTGGGGTTTTTTAGGCAATTTCTTCAATCTTTTGTAGCCTTTATTAAGGTCCAGGTGCCTCTCTTGATATTTTTCTTTTGGTATCTGTCCTGCAAATTCTAAAGATTTCCATTTTTTCTCCTTTCCCTCAAGAAATAGGAGAAGAGTTCTGTTTTGGGAAATCTTGTGAATAACTTGCTCAAAATATGTTTTCCGACTATAGTTTGTTTGGCAATGTTTCAAAGAAACAGCTAGGGATTAATTCTTGGTTGATTTAGGTTGTTGAAAAAACTGCAGATCCAAATATTGAGTAATATTTTTGCTTAATGCAACTTAGGATCTAATAAAGCATGTGTATTTGGAACTCCCTGCTACTATAAAAGGTGACAAGTTATTGCTAAATATGAGTATTAAATTTGTTGTTCTTTCCTTGGAACCAAGGGAAAGAAGGCAGTTTTTTTTTCAAGGGAGACAATTTGGTCTAGTGGTTAAGACACTAAATTAGAAAATAAAGGAAGTTAGCAAGTCCTGCCTTAGCTATGAAAGCCAACTAATGGCCTAGTTATCCTCTCTCAGTCTTAGGAAGGAGGCACTAACTAGCCACTTCCGAAAGTATTTGTATTGTATTATTAATTTGTGTTAATAATTTTTCCTGCCAAACTTGGAAGAGTTGCTTCTTACTCCGAGTGATTGTAATAAATGAACCAAATTTTAAGTTCCTTTTCAGAATAAAAGTGCAGAACTTTTCCCACAGCTGCTGCAGTTAGGAAAGAACAGTTGTTTCTCTAAAAAGACTAAGCTCTCTCTATGTGTGTGTGGGGGGGGAGACTTACCTTTTGCATTTGTTGATTAGGATTAGCACCTTTCACAGAAGGCATGGAGATATACTAAAGGAAGAAAAAGATAGGGAATGACTTAGAGATACAGACTAGCTCAACAGAAATCTGTAAAGCAATCAAGTAAGAGATGAGGAGAGACAGAGAGGTGGAGTTGGAGGGATGGAAGTGGGCACAGGGAAAGAAAAGGGAATATGACTCTCTTTGCCCTGTTTTGCTGGCAAGGAAAACCAGGGTGAAGACATTTTTTATGGCTTATTTTAACATTTTCCTAACAGAATTTAAAATCTTGTCTCTGGTGATAAAAGACATTTGACATGAAGAAAGAAAGCTGGAAAACCCCCTCTCACCCCAGCATGATTCAACAGCAGCCTGATTCAGCAGTAGCCTGAGGCTAGGTGGCAAACACTTAACATACACTAAATGGAAAGCTGGCCAGCAGCAATTAGGACTATTCACACAACAATACGGCTATCACACACAACAATAAAGCCATTAAACACCTTTCAGGCAGGATTAGGAAGGAAATTTACCCAACAAAAGCCACTGACTAGCAAATCAGAAAAGATAGATTCAAACTCACCAATCAGAAAAGACATGTTTTGGAAACCACGAAAGGGTATAAAAACCCATGTTTTAGAACCATTCTGCCTAGCTAGCCGGGGATTCAAGCTGAACTGTCACTTAAATTTTGATCCTCGAGATTAAACCTCTCTTTCCGGTAGCTGGCTTCACGATCTATTTCTTCCGCGTTGCGCCGTCAAGGAAAATCCCGGCTGGAAGAACCGAAAGGGGAAATTCCTCTCAACAATTATCTGGCGACCAAGAAGGGACTCCCAGCTCACCCGCCACCGGACCGGGCCCGGAAGAGCCTCTATCCAGCCGGCAGCAGACACCTTGTTCCGCAGGAAAGCCTCCACGGACCCTGCCCGGTCGGCAATGGGTATTAAAGGGAGTTTTTGAGTCTTGCGCTCGGACAGCTACCTGGAAAGAGGGTAAGTACCACCAAATTAAGCTTATTTAGCTAAAGGGTCTGGGGAACGAAAGGAAGAGTGCATGAGTGTGTGTATGGGGCACCCTCCTCTAAGAATCAGCTGGAGCTCACCCCCTCCGTATGCCCTCTAGCCGCACCCCGACCCACTGCTAGTTCCACTGGAGCCGTGACCGGCGGGATTCGGGAAAGCAAGGGGGGGGCATCGGAGCGTGAGACCTTCTGGTGAAGGAGGAGAGCCGAGCGGGCAGAGAAAAAGGGAAAGGATTCTATTTCGGGTAAACCAGGACCCCTTCCGTCAGCAACATTTAAGGAATAGCCCTAATTTAGAGCGGTCCACTTACCTCTGAGAGCAAGCAGAGATCCGCAGCAGATGTTAGGGGTCCGCAAAACAGTTGTGGTGAAGCCGATCGGTGGTAGAGTGACCCGTACCTTCTGAAGGGAAACCAGAAGCATCTCTACAGACCCCTTTTTGGGTCTGAAACCGTGGGGGATCCCACAAGGAGCCCGCGTACTCTGTGAGGGATCCAGAGTGCTCCGTGAGTCCCCTTTTTGGACTCACAAAACCGCGGCGGTAGGAGGAAGCCTCGCAAGGAGGCTTCCGGTATATAGAGCCCGTTTAGTGAAAGTAT